TACGTTTTTCATATATTTTTTAAATGCCAATTTTTGTTGTCTTTAGCTTGTAAAATGTCAGGACCGACTCTTATCCTCAGAAGCAATTTCACATTCTTCTTTATTTCATGATATAAATCTAAAATTCACTAAATTTAGTTTTTTCAACTAATTTTTTTTCTTACATTTTTGCACCTAAATAAGCTTTTAACTATCTTATTGAGCTTTTGTATAGCAATAATCGACTTTTACTCGCATGATATCTAAGGCATAAGATTTAGGATTCATAATTTTTCATAGCTTTCACTCAATCTGTCGATGGTAGACTCATCTCGATGTGTACAATCGTTCTTTATATGTCCCAACTTATGATGGGTATTGAGAAACAAGTAGTTAGTTTTTCTTTTGTTTTCTTTTCGCTCTGTTGCATTTGAGGAGAGTAAACATGGAGATAAATATAATAGGAGTGTTGAAGCTTTTTCTGAAGAAGGGTTTCATGAGAGGTTTCCGAAAAATTCAAACTCGAATATGGTGTTTATGGCAAATATATACTAGTTCAACAGTCAGTTTTGGGGTCGACTCCTAAACACCATTGTCTAGTTCTACGATTTCAAAAAGCTTTGCCTTATGAAGAAACCTCTACGATTTTAATTTTTTAATTAAGTGGAAGCTTTTTAAAAACTTATCAAATGCTTTGATGCTTTGGTTCGTTATTGTTAAGTAACCTAAATTTGTGAATATATCTGGATAGCCATATTGCAATGGTGAGGCCCAGTGGTAGTAAATCAACTATACTCATCATACTTATTTCTGGTGATTTGCAACAAGATAGATTTGAATCAAAGCATTATGTTCTGCTGAAGATTTGAATCAAAAGATAGATTTGAAGTGATCTCAGAAAGACATGACAATACCAATTTCGAGGCATTTAATAGATAACAGTTTGTATCAGTGAATCAAAGATGTCATACATTACATAACATAACTTTCTCTGAATATCAAGCTTTCCCATCATTAAAAAATATGTGTCATTCTTTTATTTGAGATAGAACAAAGAAGAGAAATGACATTAGAATAAGAAGAACATGCCATATTTCAAAGTTTTGGAGCTTTTTGATTGAATAGGCTATTATTGGGTTTGATAAAGATGAATTTATGGTGCAAATTTATGTTGTTCAAATGCAACTAAAAATAGTGGAAAATATCACTAAATCCAGACAAGATGTTAGGTAAAATGCTAAAAAGAAATGCATATTGTTGTTGGTTAATAAATGGTAAACTGAAAGAGAGTTCATTCGGCTATCCAAGTTTGGACCGGATGATCTTATTTGGTCCTTTTAAACAAATCTTTTCATGCCTCCAAGTGATAATTTCAAGAATACTCATGCTTATTCAAGTTTACAAATTTTTGCTTTGAGTGCTAATGAAAGAGAGTACATTACGCTATCCAAGTTTGGCTATGTTGTGTTCATCTGCTATTAAGTTTGCGAGAGAGTTTTAGAACATATATAGAACAAGCTAAGGCAATGCCAACAAACCCA